TTTCAGAGTCTGTGTCTCCCTCTCTCTCTGATCCTCCCCTGCTCACGCTGTCTCTCTCTCTCTCCTAGAAATAAAAAAAAAAAAACAAAAACAAAACACAGCTGTGGAGTAGACCCCTATCTATCGTAATACTGACAAATAATATGTGCTCATGGCTACTAGATACAGATCTTACCAAAGAGGGAAAAGCAGCAATTAAAATAAGGTGACCAAAATGGATCATCAAGAAGCAGGTTTGAAACTTTACCAGCCACATGATCTAGGGCAAGTTACCTTATTTGGATGGTGGGGATAAAATATTCACCTAAAGGCCACACTATAATCAAACCTCAACCCACCCATACTGCTGCCCAAAAGAAAATGCAAGCTAAATACAGGTTTGCCCGGTTATCTAAAAGTTCACTTTAACTTTTACACCATTTCGCTTTCACTAAAGGTTTCACAGGAATGCACTACTTTTGGACAATATGGGGAAATCTGTATCTAAGTTTATTTTCCAGTAGCCACAATAAAGTAAAAACAGGTAAAATTGGTTTTACATTTAAACCTGTACAAATTCGTTATTAAAAATGCTGAGTATTTTACATTTTTTTCATACTAAGCCTCCATAATCTGCTCTATATTTTACACTTCTGAAAAGTAGGTTCACAAATGCAAGCTGTTCAAAAGAAAGTGGTTCAAAACAAACACTAAATTGGGTATGTTTTAAAATTCAAATTACAAAAATTCAGTCTCTCAGATGCATACACTAACTACACTTCCATACAAGTCTAATGGTTACTGTACAGACAGCAATATTCCAACAGTGTCATTCCATACAGCACACAGTCCTGTTCTCCTGCTTTCAGGTGTATGCTCTCTGCTATTCTACTTACTCCACCTCCTGCTGTTATTAAGGGCATTATTTATACTATTTTTCACCAAAACCCCACCTCTGGTTTTCTCACACCTAACTAGTATTGTCCTTATTCAGCAAATGAGGACACAGTACTGACTTCAAGGAAAAAAGAATCACAGATAGTAAACAGCTGAACAAAAGGGGGTTACTGTTTTTAAGTTGGGAAAAATGCTAAAAAAAAAAAAAAAGAAATACTTCTGGGATTTAAATAGAAGTCTCTTAAAAGTTCCTAATGTAGCACAATGAAGGTAAAAACATGTAGCCAGCACTAAACTCCTATACTACTATATTTATCCAGATTAAAGTGTTTTGAGATGTCCTAAAATTTGGGGACCCTGGGTGGCTCAGTCAGCTGAGCTGTGACTTCAGCTCAGGTCATGATCTCTCAGTTTGTGGGTTCGAGCCCCACGCTGGGCTCTGTGCTGACAGCTCAGAACCTGGAGCCTGCTTCATATTCTGTGTCTCCTCCTTTCTGCCCCTCCCCCACTTGTGCTCGGTCTTTGTCTCTGAAAATTAATAAATGCAAGAAAAAAAATCCTGAATTTTCAGGCAACTTTTTTTTTTTGCCAATCCACAACACTGCCTTAAATGAAACCCAACATGTAAGTTAATCTACCCATAACTAGATGCTCTTATCCTATTACCTTGCTGCAGATTACACTATGCCCTTTTAACAGCTTAAATTGCTCAACTACGCAAATTATTAATTCTACCGTCATAAAAACCTAGGATTTAGCATCTGTATGCCCAA